TAGAAGGAGAGAAAAGGACATGAGCTATTTCAGACAGTGGCCTTTTGGGATGGGGCTGGATATGGATTTTGTCTTTGTAAAAACCTCTCATGGTTCATCTCAGCCTTTGTCTTCAGGCAGTGCCCTGTGGCTCCCTCATTCCTTGTCACTCTCCCGCATCCTTCACTGCCTGCTGCGTAGGACGTGTACGTATGCTTGTTTAAGGCCTGTCTGCAATTTGTCCGGCTGGACTCAGAAAGAGGCGCCTAGGGGTCAGGCAAAGGCTCTGCTGGCTGAGCCTCTGGGTACGATGTCCTGCACAGCAGTGGGCACAGGCAGGAGTTTAATGGGGCTGCGGACGACGAGCACAAGTGATCTGTTCAGCCACCACGTTCATGCCTGCAGCTGGCCGAGGGGTGAGAGAGGAAGTGCCAGGGGAGGTCGACCGTGAAGACTGGCTGACTGGGCCTGGGTCTCACCGGATACTGACTGAAGAGTTGCAATTCGGCAAGCCTCCCTCTGGCCGACCCTTCACGCAAAGCTCCCTGAATTCCCCGGGCCAGGCAGCCGTCCTCCCACACCTGCGGCCAGGGTGCCAGCTCGAACACAGGTCCCTTTCCAGGGGTTGCCCAGCCCCTCTAGGAGTGGGGGCAGGCAGGGGCAAGCAGGTTACCTGTGTGTTCATCTGAGCTTGCCAGCACTGGAGGGACTTGCAGTGACTATTAAGGGCTAAGGCCCCCGAAGCCATCACATGGCGTTGACACCCTCTCCGTGCCACAGCAACCCTGGGGACAGTTGTTCATAGTGTCCAGGGCCAGCTATTGGTCTCCTTGGTCTGCAGGTCCCCCTACAAGATAGTCTGGCTCAGACGTTAATTTTAAGACCTTAGTTTGTGTTTGGGTTTTCCCTGCATTTCTGTCCCTTGTTCTAAGGAGATAACTCAGCCCTTTGGATTTCTTTGATTTCTGTAGGGTGGGAATTATTTTTAGTGCTTGAAGACAACCTCTCAAACTGTCTTCCATGAATGCCTGAGTTTAGTGAAGAAATGCTATCAGGTGTTCCTGAGATGCCATCGAGGAGAGAGAGGGGACAAGGAGCGAGCAGTCGGGGCTACACCAGGCAGGGGAGGGGCCTCAGGCAGGTGTGCCTGCTGCTGGGGCCTGAGAGGGTTCGAGACCTGGCCTTGGCAGCACTGTGGGGAAGGGCCTATGAGGCACTGGACAAGGAGAGCAGTGTGACCTGGTGGGCGAAACATGAGAGCCCTTCCTCACCCTGAGCCCTGGGCTCTAAGAAACGAGTCTCCAGGACTCCTGAGGGCTGGGGGAGAGGAAGACAGCCTCAGTAACTGAGATTGACCTCCCTGCCGGCCAGTCAGCACGGGGCTCTGAGTTGGATTTAAGCTGGTTTAAAATTGTTTTTAAATGGGACCTCCTCTGCCCACCTGGGTTTGTGGAGGATCCATCCCTCCTACCGCAACCCGAACCCTTACTGGCTGCTCCAGGTGCAACCTTGAGGCAGGCGAATGTGAGCACAATGCAGGTGAGACTCTGCTTCCTAGTCCCACTGTCACCCTTGCCGATAACCCTCCAGGAAGGAGCTGAGGAGAGTCTCACTTTTCAGACCACCTCGGGTGACTCTGGCTTCAGGGTCCCCTTCATAAGGCTGCGGTGGCTCCTCAGTTCCTCGAACATGTGAGTGAACACGGTGAGACCCAGGCACACCTGCCGTGTTCAACCTCTCTGAGCAGAGCTCCCTGCCTGTGAACTTCGTGTGCAGCGCCCTGCCTGGAACCCTTCTGCATGTCAGCACCCCCTATGACACTCCTCTTCCCGAGACCATTCTTCATAGGAAATAGCACAGCAAAGTAAAAAGAGGCAGGACTTGGGGGCAGAAAACCCAGTGATTCAGGTTCAACCTTACCACCACAGCTGGGGCAAATCACCTCCCTGTGCCTCAGTTTCTCCACCAGTAAAATGAGAATTACAGCTGCCTCACATCCAATAAAGCAAGTGCCATGTTAGTGGTAAAATGCTGTATGGCTGGAAGCAGTTCTTAAATGCGAGGGACCCTCCCTCTAGAGAACTGAACCTGGAACTTCAGAGGATGGAAAGTTCCCTCTTTTAAGAAACATTTGGGCCAGAGCTTTGGGCTCTGAGATCTCTGATTCACATAAAAATGAACCCATAAACCATTAAACTGAAAGGATCGTGTGCCCCTTAAATCCACTTGTGTACCTCAGCAGCTGCAGAAATGAGGCCATGACCTGGCTCTGCCTCTAACTCTCCAAGTTTTAGCCAGTCCCCAGATCTCTTTGCAAAGGACACCAACCAAGGAAACAGCAACTCAGTTCTGGTCTCGATTCTTCCGCTTACTGGATGTCCCTTAACCTTGAGCAAGCTTTCTCAACTGTAGAATAAATAAAGGGCAGAAGGAAGACTGTGAAGGACACGTCCAATCCCCAATCCTCAGTTTCCCTGTCAGTGCAAAGGGAGGCCAACACTGTCCTAAATGCCCCCTGCATTGTCCTGTCCCCATGTATGAGTGCGTGGAGGGACGCAGAGCTGAGCAGGGCTAGTCCTTGACCTCCCTGACCCTGCAGCCCTTTCCGGCCTCTCCTCCCCTCCCCTCTGCCTGGGGGGACAGGGGTCCACGATGCATGTGGAGAAACGGGAGGCTGGGAGTGCAGGGATGCCCAGCTAGCCCCGCTCTGCCCCAGCCCACCCTGAGAGCCTCAGTGAGCTCATGTCTGCAGCAACCTCACTGCTCATAACCAGGATGGTGAGACAAACCTGGAAGCCAAGCCCAGGTGAGAGGTGATGGCTGTCTCCTCAGGAATGTGCTGCCCAATTAAAACTGCCTCCCAGATGGCCCCTGCAGATGCTGAGACTGCTCCCCGCTGCGCTGTGGGCCAGCCTCCAGCTGAGTCATTCTGCAAGCATTTACTGACGGCCTACTATGCACCAGGCATTGACCTGGGTGTTGGGGAGACAAGGAGGAATAAAACCCACCCTGCGGAGTACAGTCTGTCTCTCCCAGACACACCTTCAGAAGCAGATCGCCAAACAGCCTCAAGGGTTTTGCTGGGGAAGCCCCCAGACTCTTCCCGGTCCCCCATCCACTTCAAGCCCTTCCCAAGCCCTTAAACTCTTTCTCTCCCTTTTCAAGACATCCACAGTTTTCAATCTCCTTCTGGGCTCCTCTTCCTTTTACACTGGATGGCTCAGGTTACTGCCTCCTCCTTTTCTCTGCTTCTGGGACAATCTGGACAACTCACTGTAATGTCCTTCTGCAGTGTAGACATTAGGCTTATTGCATCCTGTCCTTGGCTGGGTGTCCAGTAGAGGCCACAAAGTGGGGCAACGCCCATGTGACTAGAGGATGGGCTCTCAGCAGAGGTCACTCTCCAGGTGAGTTACCTATCAGAGGCAAGTCCTCAGGCAGGAAAGGCCAACTCGAAAGATAGGCCTCAGACAGGCAAGGGCCCCCCTCTCTCTAAGGGCCTGTGCCCTGAGGGCTGAAGTTGGAAGGATAGAAATGAAGTGTGCCTACACGGCATGCTTCCAAAGCAGTCAGACTGCTTGTGATAAGATCCAGTCTTTCATTTTTACCAGCTCTGTGCCTGCATTTGTTAGGACTGCATCCCACTGTGAGAAAGAGACATGCCAAAAACAGGCTTACACAGTTTTAAGGGTTATTTTTCTCATGTAATGAGAACTCAGAGGACAGGCAGTCCAGGACCTGATCATGGCTCCAAATGCCATCAGGGACCCAGGCACTTTACCCTTCTACCCAGCCTTCCTCAGCATGTCCTTCTTGACTCATCATCACAAGATGACTGCCCCAACTCCAACATCACGTCCAAATTCCAAGCAGGAAGAGAAAGGTCAAAGGACCAATTGAGTTTCTACCTTCCTTTTCATTTCTTCTTCTTCTTCTTTTTTTTTTTTTTTTTTTTTTTTGAGACAGGGTTTCATTCTCTGTTGACCAGGCTAGAGTGCAGTGGTGTAAATATAGCTCACTGCAACCTCAAACTCTGGGATCAAGCAACCCACCAGCCTCAATCTTCCTCCCAAGTGTCTGGGAGGGTGCATGCTACCATGCCTGGCTAATTTCTTGTGGAGATGGAGTTTTACTATGTTCCTCAGGCTGGTCTCAAACTCCTGGGCTCAAGTGACCCTCCCATCTCAGCCTCACAAAGTGCTGGGATGACAGGCATGAGTCACTGGGCCCACCCTTCCATCCCTTTTAAGGAGCTTTCCTGGAAGCTCCATATAACTCCTTATACCTCATTGGACCTCATTAGCCATAACTGTATCACATGGCCACCTCTTTTTGCAAGGGAGGCTGAGAAGTGTACTTTTAGTTGAGTATTTGCTGCCACCAGCAACACCAGATTTGTTTTAAAAAAAGAATATAAACTGGTATAGAACTTGTAAGGAAAGAATCATGTAGGGGTGAAGGGAAAACTTCCCCTTTGCTCTTTGTTGGTGTTCCTGCTTACAAGTCAAGCTCTCGAGGACATAAAACAAGATAAAAGGAGAACCTCATTTGGTTTTCATTTGGGAGACCCATAGCAAGTTCGTCTAAAAAGACACTGATCTTGTCAGAACCACAAAACCAGCCAGTCTGCAGGGCTGGATTGAACAACAGGCTTATAGGGGGTGTAGGCCCATGTTCTACTCTAGGGTACCCCCCCTTTATGACATAACAACCCAGGAGGACAAAGAGTATTTCTGGGAGGAAAAAAGATTCAACAAGATGAATATTCATTCCAAAAGTACACCAGAGTCGCCACACCCAAGACTAGACACTCAAATGCTTTTCTCTTATTAATCAAGATTTTGGAGAGGAAAACGTGATTTTTACCATCCCCTCAATTGGATTCCACAGACAGCAAGACTGTGAGTCTGACTGAGAGGAATTGCTCACCCTTCTGCCAGCTTGTCAGGCCCTGGGCTCCCTCGACTGCAGCTTCCAGAGGAGCAGAGCTGCTCTGGTATCCTGCTCATGGTGCCAAAACTACAGAGGAGGTTTTCTCCTTGCCCTTTGAAGATTTGCGTAAAACCTTAAACCTCTAAAGGCCTAAAGGCAGATTAATAGGAGAAAGGCATACACATTTTATCAACACTCGTGAGGGGGATCACAGAGTGATTACCCCAACCCTCCACTGGGCTACAGAAGCTTACATGCCTTTTTCACAGGGCAGGGAGGAGATGGGGAATTTAGACAATTCTTTTGAGTGGCAGGAAATAATGATTAGGGAGAGTGAATGGACCACTGATTCTGGAATTAACTTGTAAATGATTCTCTTTGGAATTTGAATGTGCCTGAAACGCAGGCCTTATCTTGTGAAAAAGTCTGTCCAGATGTGGTTCCAGAGTGTCCCTCTCTGCACTTGTAGGGTGTGTGGGGTGGTGGGGAAGGGAGAGAAGGTAGAGGGACCTTGATTCTGAGGCTTATTTCTGAGGCCTTTTAATTTTCAAAAGCACTCAGCATGCCCAAGCACCATATTTTGGGGAATTGTTTTCTGCACCCCAACAGATGAAAAACAGATTTCAGGAAGGAGAAGATGTGGGCCAGAGGTGGGAGAGGGGAAACGATGGTTCCTTGTGGCTTCTTACTCAAGGCTCAGTGGGCGCTGTGGCCAGTGGCTGGGCAGCTGGCTAGACGGCAGCAGGTGCATCCGCCTTCCCCACAGGAGAATGAGGAGGATATGGAGGTGGCAGAAACCTCAAAGGTCGCCGCCCCACTCTCCATTTCCAACAGGTCCCTCATGGTCCAGTTTCAGAATATCTCCTCCCTCCTAAAGCATCCTCTTCAGTAACTTCACTTGCCTAGTATATGCCATCACTTCCTCTGCTCTGGACTAAGCTCAACCTGGTAGTACCGACAAACCCAACCGCTAGGTGTTCTCTAACCTCTTACGCGCGTGCGTGTCCTTTTTGCAGAGGGCGGGAAGGGGAGGCCCTGGTGTGCCTACTTCCTGGTGCCTCCTGGCACCTACCTGGCTTGCAAAGCTCAGCTCTGGTCCCTTCCTGCAAGATGCAGGAAAAGCCACCGGACTCCCCGGTCCCCCGCAAGCTTTCCCTTAGGCCGGGCTGGGGGCCTTTCTACTTGTGAACCCTTCAGCAGCGCTTTTAAACACAGCGTTGGAGTGGTCTCTTGAAGCGTCTGATTCGCCTCCAGGATTGAGGACAGGCAGCAGGGGTTTGGCATCTTTGCACCCTCAAAGTGCTCTAAGAATGGTTGAGGATGGCTTTGGTGGCCGGCAGCGCCCTCCTCCCGCAGCAGAGAGACGTTCTACTCGGGACTCTGAGCCTTTCCCAGCGTCTCTGGGGAAGAGCGGGGAGTATCGCCCTGGATCTGCGGACCAGCCCGGGCCAAGCGGCGTGGGGCGCAGCTCTACCCAGCTCTCCGCCGCCCTCTACCGGCGCCGAGGGAGTGCCACAGCTGCGCGGCGGACGGGAAGGCCCCCGAGCCGCACAGAGCGCACGCGCGAGCGCACGCCGGCGTCCCCCGAGCCGCTTGCCGTTCGGCGCCTGCGCACGGAGAGCGTGCGGCTCCGAGGACCGAAGAGACAGGTAAGCCGCCCGGCGAGGGCAAGAGGCGGAGGGAGTGGCCTGGAGGGGAGCTGCCGGGACTTCTTGCCCTGCAGATCCGGGACGCTGGCGTTCGCTTCTGTCTGGGCGACTTTGGTGGGCTCAGAGCGTTGCTTTTTCCAGGGGGCGTGACCTGAGCCCGCCTCCCGGCGCTGGTAGTGAAGGGGGATGTGGCTTGTTAATGCCGGTTATTAGTTCGGCGATTGTTGTTTGTCCGAGAAGGTTTGCTTGAGGAGGGCACAGACTGCAAATAGTGAAGAGGAAGGGGCGAGGCTGGGCCATGTGGGAGGTGCCCGAGTCCCAGGGCAGTGAGCACCTGGGCAGGTTGGTGGAAGGCAGGCCCCATTATGAGTAGGGGGTAAGGTGGGCGGTGGGAAGCACTGCTACAAAACAAGAGTCCTAATAGAAATTGTGCAGGTGTTGGGATCATACTCAGGGAGGCAACTTGCCGTTTTTGTGTTTTCACTTTTCTCATAGAATCGATTTCTTCTCTCATGGCCCAGTGTGGACACTAACATGCATTCCCTTGCCTCTTTTCGTCTTAGGACATGACACAAGTGGCACATCACGGCCATGGGATCTCAGCATTCCACCTGTGGTCACCCCTCCTCCTTCAGGCAAAAGAAAGAAGATGACAGGGAAGATTTCCTGGCTGAACGAGAGCAGGAAGAAGCCATTGCTCAGTTCCCATATGTGGAGTTCACCGGGAGAGATAGCATCACCTGTCTCACGTGCCAAGGGACAGGCTACATTCCAACAGGTGAGACTCTTGGGTAATCAGGGGAGGGATGATTCTCTGACAAGAATCCTAAGGTACCCTCAGGGTTTCTTGTGTATGCCCAGACAGCTTTTTCTTTTAGTTCATAATGACATTATAGTCATAGACAGTGCTCTTAACAGGAGCCAGCCCAGCCGACTTGATAAACTTGGACAGATTCTGCAACTTCTCTTGATATCCTTATATTTGAAACCCTTTTCTTCACTTCCATTCTGTTCTTCCCCTCCCATCCCCCTGGGGTTTGGAACATTCAGTTTGCTCTATCTTGTGGATTTGTTGACAGGCACATTTCTTTATTGCTTTTGCTCATAAAGACTGTCACAGCTTTGTGGGGGACCTTCTTGGAAGCTTCTTTTCAAGGAAGCAGATAGCAAATCATTAACAGCCTAAGGTCTGAAAAATCTATTAGGTGGAGAGAGAGACATGTTTAGGGGTGGAGCCTGGATTAGGTACAGGATCATCTATTACTAAGTAGGCCTTCAGAAAGTCTAAACAGTTTAGATGGAGGGTCACAGAAGTTTAGAGCTGATAAGAACCTTAGAACCCCTTAACTCTAAGACTCAATATTGAAGGTGAGGAAACAGTGGCTGTGAGAGGTTCGGTGACTTTGCCAAGGCCCTGTAGTAAAGCCAGAACAAGATCCCAAATTTCTCGACTTCCATGTCAGTGCCCTGGTAATGATGATAGATGTTTTATAATTTGTGGCACTTCCTACAGATTTATTTATTTCCTGTTCATTATACCCAAAATGCAAATTTCACTAGCATTTTTTAAAAAGTCCCATTCCAGAAGAATATTTGCTGTGGCAGGCTCAAGTGAAATGTGAAGGAAAGTACGGCCAACACATGGGAATTACAAAATAATTGTTTGATTCTTTTCTAGAGCAAGTAAATGAGTTGGTGGCTTTGATCCCACACAGTGATCAGAGATTGCGCCCTCAGAGAACGTAAGTTACCTGCCTTCCACCTTTTAATACCTACTTCTGTCCCTAGTCCCTTTCTAAATTTCCCATTTTTAAAATTATTTACCTGAGCAAGATATTTCTGCCCCCATTACAATCTGGGAAAATAAATTTGAAGCTAGAAATGTTCTGAGGGCCAAGTAAAGGAATAGGATTGGAAGGAGTTGGAGAAATGGGGTGTTCTGGGAGGTATGGAAAATGGTCTCTGTCCATACAGCTCCTCTCTTCAGTTTTTCTTCCTAGAGTGCAGTGCTCAAACATTTAAAAAGGCTTCTCCTGCTCTGCTTATTCTTGGCTGGTTTGTGGTTCCTGGCACTTTGAACTTGCCTTTCACTCTCCCCTCCTTCCTGGTTCTATATTTAATCTTAATTGATTGGACCGTGATATCTGACTCCCCGGGTCGGTCATGTGCTGTGTGTCATTTGCAGTAAGCAGTATGTCCTCCTGTCCATCCTGCTCTGTCTCCTGGCATCCGGTTTGGTGGTTTTCTTCCTGTTTCCACACTCAGTCCTTGTGGATGATGATGGCATCAAAGTTGTGAAAGTCACATTTAATAAAAAGGACTCGCTTGTAATCCTTGCAATCACGGTAAGACTTAGAGCTTCATTTCCTGGGCTGTGCACCTGCCAGTCTTGGACTGAGGACACTTACACTTGTTTCCTCTCTTGCTCTGATGCAGGCCACCTTGAAAATCAAGAACTCCAACTTCTATTCTGTGGCAGTGACCAGCCTGTCCAGCCAGATTCAGTACATGAACACAGTGGTTGGCACATATGTGACTACTAATGTCTCCCTCATTCCACCTCGGAGTGAGCAGCTGGTATGCTACTCTTGGAGGAACCTCGTCCCCAGGCCTAGGAGAAAAGCAGGGGTGGGGGAATGCCATAGCCATGTCCAGTTTCTTTTTGTTTACTCATTTCCACTTATAGGAACCGGTTGATGAGGAAGAATTGATAGGGTCTGTAATTATGAAAAATTGTGGGAGAAAATTCAGCTAGCATTTAGGTATTTGAGGAGCAGAAGAATTCGTAAGAGAAAGAATAGCCTGAGGTCCATTGGCCTCTCAAAAGGGAAAAAGTTGGAAGTATTTATTAGAGGCTCATAGACTGTATCAGGGACAATCTCGGGGAAGTATTTTGTGTGTGATGGAAGAATTGTCCAGGGTCTTTGGATTGCTAATAATAGTACTGTTCTATGTCAAGCCTGCTTGGCCACAGACTGACTCTGGTGTCTTATTTTCAGGTGAATTTTACCGGGAAGGCTGAGATGGGAGGACCATATTCCTATGTATAGTAAGGACGATGTTCTGTATGTGTGTGCTCTCTATTGGGTGAAAGAGTCATACTTAATTGATTGGGGCATGGCCCTGCCTTAGGTCACAGCCTTGGGCCTATAGGTTCCCAGCCAAAGGAGCGTCTTGAGATTTATTTGGAGGATGTGTCATTTGATATGTGACTGAAGGGCTGGAATTTCTGAAAGAATGTTAAGCCACTAGAAACTTATCAAGCTCCAACATTTATATGATGGATTTGGAAAAACAAAAAGTACTATAATATGGGAGGATGAGAATGACTGTGAGCCTTGGCAGGTCTTAGGTCCAAAGGGTGGGTGTCAGGGATGGGAGACACCCAGACAGGCTGGACTGCTTCTCCATTTGACAGTGTAACTCTGCACTCTTCTGCTAATGATCCTTTCTGTTTTCTTTTTTAACCAAACTGACCATTTTTACTATATATTTGCTGTTTGATAGCTTCTTCTGCACATTACCGGATATCCTGGTGCACAACATAGTGATCTTCATGCGGTATGTCACTCTTTTCCCTGCCCTCATGGCCCTTACGTTTGAGCCTGGACCATCAGGCCTTGTGAGCTTAGCACCTTTGCTCAGGAGATGCCTGTGTGACCCACAGGGCAGAGGCACCTGGCCAAAGAAGGGATACCTGGTGCCTCCCAGATACAGCAGACCCTTGGCACAGATACAGCAGACCCTTGGCACAGATACAGCAGACCCTTGGAGTTCTCAAGATGCAGTGCCTAAATCACCAGATTCACAGAGAACAGTCAAACATGTAATTTTCTCCATGCAATGGAGTCTAGTTCAACTGAATATGTTGTGACTCCTTTAGAATCCTAATGAGAGCAGTAATGAACAGAAAAGCTTTTTCAGGATGGTAGGTGCTGGGCATTTCACCAGACTTACACTCCAGCCACACAGATTACCACATGTCATGGACCTTTAGGGCTATTCCTGAAACCACAACTGTTAAATTTGTAGGTGACAAGAGTCTGCTGCAAACATTTGAAATATAAGGGGTTAAAACAGGATTTCTCAGCCTTGGCACTATTAACATTTTGGGCCAGAGAGTTCTTTGTTGTAGTGGGCTGTTTGGTGTGCTGTAGGATGCTTAGCAGTATTCCTGGCCTTTACCCACTCAATGCAAGTAATATTCACCACCTCCTCTCCCCCGTCAGTTGTAACAACCCAAAATGTCTTCAGATATTGCCAGAGATCGGTGGGTTAAAATCATCCCTGATTGAGAACCACTTATTTAGAAGGGTACTGCATAACACAGCATCTCTATGGATGTGGAAAGATATTCTGGCCTCCTAGTTACATACCCATGAGGCTATATTCCTGGGGCCCATGGGTGTTATTGCCTCAACTTGGAAGAAATTATTTGGACAATTTTTTCTGGCTTATTTCACCTCAAAATCAAAATAAATTCTGCTTGTTTCCCCCCCCCACCTAGAACTTCAGTGAAGATTTCATACATTGGCCACATGACCCAGAGCTCCTTGGAAACACATCACTATGTGGATTGTGGAGCAAATTCCACAGCTGTTTAGCAGCTGCTCTCGGCTCTTCCTTGCAGCACCTGTAGAAGAGAGTGCAGCAACTATTCCCAAGGCCTTAGTTCCGCACCTACCCCAGGTGGTATAAGCAGAGGAGGAATCGATTCTCTTAACTTCCAGCAAACATCCTCCTGCCACTTAGGAGGAGCCCCCTCTCTACTGTACCATTTGTTTCTCAGAACCAGCAGAATCACTGCCCAGTGCCTAGCCTGCGCCCAGCAAATAGTAGACACTCAAGAAAGGTTTGCAGAATTTGATTCACATCTTTCCAGCTGTTGTTGGGGCATTTAAATGGAAATCATACCATGGTTCTAGGTTATCAAACCAGAGCAACATGGAGATAGGATCGTTAGTGCAGCTGTGGACTATTACCGTGTCTCATCTGCACAGAAGTGGCAGCAGAGAGGGACCATCTGAATACAGAAAAGAAGAAAGCACAGACCTATTCAAAATGTGAATTTTTTTCATCTGTTCCCAAATGCTTGGGAACTTTTAAAAAAAGAAAAAAAAATGAGATTTTTTTGGTTTGTTTTTGTAGAAAGTTGCAATTGTTTTTACCAAGAATCTATGTGAGGCTTGACTTACCCTTCATTCACTGGCTGGAACATGGATTGGGGATTTGATAGAAAAATAAACCCTGCTTTTGATTCATCTGCGTCTCCTCTGATTGGTTGTCTTAGTAGGCACCTCTGGGAAACCATAGAATAGTTGCCTACTGTGTGTGTCAGGATGGGATGGGAAGGAAAGAAGGATCCTGATTGTGCTCCTGTCCCCACAAGTTCCTATCTCAGCAGCCTCCCTTTTCTCCATCTGCTTCTTGGGGCAACAGGCTGCCTTATTGCTCTTCCAGCGGAGCACTCAGTGCCCCATAGGAGTTGGAAGAGGCAGGACAGAGATGCCTGAGGAGTGAAAAGGAGTAACTTCCCTGAGGAGGAATAACCACTACCCCCCACACCCCCACCAGCTGGTCCTGAAGAAGAGGACCTGGTTTGAGGCTGAAAATTTCTTGAACTGTCTCCACCCTCTCAGCTACCAGAGGGTGGGCTACAACCTGGAACTGGCAGAGCATCTAGCTAGGATCTAAGCTTGAGTAGTCAGGTTTCAGAACTCAGCCGAGGTGGACACCAGCTCCTCCCATGCCACTGGGGCCTCAGGAAACCCTGACAGCAACAGGTGGTGGCCAGGGTTTTCTATTAGTTTTTGTCCCCATTCCCACAGATTAATTTTCAATATCTGCTTAATGACTTGCACTATGAATCAAACTAGGGCTAAATTTCATAACTATTTAGCTGACATTGACCATGATTAAACCCAAAAGCTGAGGGTTTAAACAGTTTTAGTGTTACATAGGACCATGCAGCAGTGTGAGTGCACAGTGGTAATGACTGTGATGTGTGTTGGTGGTGGAACGTCACCACTTGCACGGAAGCAAACATGCCACTACTGAGCATGTAGCCCTAAATACAGATGCCCCAGATGTTTGAAGAGGTTCACATTGCTACATTTCCTCTTTAGTTTTCCCATTTTCTAAATAGCCTCTGTAGCATATTGTTCATATAATTTTGAAAAAGTTACTCATACTTTAATTTTGAATCATTTTTGTGACCATGTGCCTCAGTAAATTTATTTTAATATTACCTTAAAATCTAGCTATGATATTAAAATGAGAACATTTAAATTTTTTAAATGTACAGCAATAAGTCTGATCTCATGATGCTATGAATTCTCATATCTGCTTACATTTTTAGCATCCCAACCTGCACTTCAGGGTGCTCTGCATAGTTTTATCATGGTGTCTGTCAATTCTTGAACAAATGCCTGAAATATTCTCTCAGCAACCCCAAAATAGAAAGGGGAAGTGGTTGGATGAGATGTCATTATGATCACTGTTGTGTTTCTAGGATTGGAATTTGTAGAGTGTGTCTTGGTGAGGCCTTGTGAGCATCTCTCCTCTAGAGTTTCTGGTTTGGCCAATGATGTGTGTCGTGGCCCGTTTGCAGGACGGAGGATGAACGCAGAACATAAAACACAAACGCGCAGAATACAAAGAAAAACACAGACACACGTACAAACGGTTGACTCAAGTAATAATACACCGGCTCAGTTTTATTTTTATACTCTAAAAGATTAAAGTTACTTCTTTGTACGTAACTTCCCAGGCGTGGGAGCAATAGCCGTAAATTCCGAAATAGCCTTAGAGAAGCAGATATCCCCTGACTCAGAATCTCAAGGTGGTTGCACTAGGCACTAGGCATAGATAAAGGACCGAGATTAGCAAGGATGGGCAAGGTGAGCCACAGGGGGCGTTTCTCATCCCCAGCTTCTCTTAGGGTGACCCCCTAAGATCTTCAGCTGAACCCCAGAGACTGTGCTTGGCTTAGGTCGCCCCTCCCTTGAGGGGTCTTACCCATCATTGACTAAGCAGCCATCTTATGGGGTGTACACAGCAATCACAGGAACAATATGTTTATCGTGTGGCCTCCAGATCCCCAATGCCGTGGGGTGGGGCTGCTCTGGCTAGTTGTGGCTCAGGGCCTTTGTTATGCCTCTAGGCAACACCTTTGTTTATCACAGGGAGCCTGTCCAGAACACATTACTTTCAAAGCTCTGGGCAGAACACGTACATTCCTCACTAACTTTAATTCTTAAACTAGGAAAATATATGTCAGTCTTCTACAATATAACCTCTTCCTTCGTCTCAAGCCACTTAACCCAGCTCACCTGGTTGAAGAGTTGCTACATACGGAAGTCTTCATTCCTTTGTCTATTTACTTATTCCAAAAAAGTATTTACTGAGCACCTGTTGTATGCTAAGCATTGCAATTTCTGAGGCATTCTGTCCAGAGTCATAACCAGAGTTTAAAACACCATCACAGCCTCTTGTGTTCACCGGGCCCCATATAGGCCACGGTTTACCTCCACCAGCTATTCTGTAGCCTCGTTACCCCAAAGAAGAACCCCCAAGATCTCTGCATCAACTCCCAAAGTGTGAAAGAAATTATTAAAAGAATCAGCCTATTTGTTAAAAGTGCTACATGACTCAATAGGGTCCCAGATGCTCTCTCTCGACAAAATAATCTTTATTCTTTGCCTTCATAAGCAAAATTCCTTATTACCTTGTCAGCATTCCTTTAAGATTCCGTTCCTTCCATTGTTTAGAAGGGTAAACCATTTCAGAAGTTGTCCTGTGATTTACCCAGGATCCAAGGGACTTGAGAGTAGGTCTAAGCTGGAGCTCAGCCTGCTGACAGACAGTCCAGAGCCTTTCCATGCTAGGCAAATTTCATGGCAAAAGTGAGGGAAGCTCAAGAGAGGGAAAGTAACCTGACGGGCCCACCATCAGGAAGCCAGGTGTGTCCACTCAATCCTGCTGGGCTCAGGCTGGGCCGACAGGTTACAGTGACTGGAGAGACTGTCTGCTTTTCCTGGGGTATGGGACACCATGGGCATTAGCAGCGGTCCCCTGGGATACAGGGGCAGCAGAAGGAGCACAGCACTGCCAGGCAGAGTGGCGCATCCTGAGTGGAGCCTAGATGCAGGCAGAGGCAGGGGTGTCTGTGCCACTCTTCCCTGGGCTCTTCCTTCTGGTTCACGCCTCACTCACCTGCTTAGCAGTTGCTGTTATTTCTGGGGTTTATTGGGCACTCAGGAAGTGGGTGGGCTGCAAGGAATCACCTTGGTGTCCTGGGACTTCTCTGGCAAAGGTCTAAGCCGTTGGAGCGGATGGTCACGGTCTACTGAACCACATTGTTCGGAGTAAGTAGCTCTGTTACCTCATGGGAAGAGAAGTGGGCAAGGCAGCAGCCTGGGCTCTGGAGTGACAGGCTGGAAGGGAGCACAGCTGCTTGGCTCCAGCTGTTGACTGAGGAAACATTTCCATGAACCTACACCTCGTCTGCTTTACCTTTGCCCTCATTACCCCTTGCACATGGAAGTGGTGTTTACTTGACATTATATTAATATGAGATAGCTATTCTAAGTATGTGTTTTTAGTTATGTTTTCATGTTACTCCTTTATTGTTGTTATGAGCTGGCCCTGGTAAGTTACTTTATTCAATAAATTTATACCACAGGTTGGGTATTAATACATGCAAACAAACCCAACAAAAGTGTGTTTATTTTTATTATTTTTTTAATAGAAACGCTGTCAACCTTAATCTAGAGGAAGTGGAGGCAGGGATGGGAGAAAAGGGCAGAGAAAGGGATGGCTCGCTAGTTTATCAGCCATGCCAGATATTTTATAAAACACTACTGTGGTCCATTCTGATTGGTTTTGTCTCCTGCTCACTTGACACTCACCACCACCATGGCCCTCTAGTGGAGAAGGGGACAACTTGCTCATTTTTGCCACATACCCAGGTCAATGTAAAACCAGGGACACCTGACGGCAGAAATGGGAGGCTGTCCATTGTGGAGCCTGGTGCTCAGAGGAAGTGCATGGAAACTGTAGGCGCAGGCCCAGGGAGTGAAGAATGGTGGCCGGCGGGTCAGGGGCAGGGAAGAGGAAGATGGGGAGCGGGTAGCACAGCTACCTCACCTTGACCTAACGGTCTTGTAGAAAAGCAAAATAAATAGGTGGCCTACATGGATCGTGTGCACTTGTCACGGGGCCCAGCAGGACTCGCTGCCCTTCCTCCGTCCTCTTCTCCACCCTCCTTCCTGGGAGCATCTCCCACCTGGCCCATCAGGCAGGGTGTGGCTCACACGACACCTCCCCCCCGCCCCCCCAGGCTGGCAGGTTGTCTTGCCTCCGCATGAATCTGCAGAATCTGCTGCAAGGCTGTGTTCAGCATCTGCTCTCGAGAGCAAGGCCATCCCTGTGGCGGGCCTCCCTCCCCCAGTCCTGGTCTCTGGCCCCCGTTCACCACTGGGTTCCACGCGGTGCCAAGGTTTTACCACAGAGGCAAGTTCGCGTTTCAGTGACAGTGCCAACCCGGGCAGTGTGGTTTCAGTGACCTCCCTCTGGGTTGGCGAGCCAACAGAAGAAGGCCTTAGGGACTGCCATTTGGGTACACCTACAGGACCAAGCACTAATGGACAACAGACTAAAGAACAAAGCACACGTCAATGTATACTTTCCAATAGTTTTTTTGTTTTTAATATCAATTGATGTTTTAAAAAATACAGAGGTGTTTGACACAGAATAGCACCATTGTGTAGGACACACACAGTTCCTGCGCCCGGCACCTGAAGGGGGTCTTCTCGCCTGGGCTGGGGGCAGTCACTCAGAGGGCATTTGACTCACACCAGTTAGTTTCCTGCCTCTGCCTTGACCCAAGGGTCTTACAGGAAGACAATAAATAAATAGAACACCGAGATTTTATTTTGCAGTCTGCCCAGTTCAGGTCTCTTAGAAAGAGAGGGGAGAAAAGTCCGAACTGTGAGAGGGTGGGACGAATGGACATCAGGTCAGGTCAGCCATTCAGTGCAGAGTCCTAGAGTGACTGGGGTTGGAAAGCACTTAGGTCCTTTGGGTTTGTGACGGATTGTGTTGTCTCTGGGTTCGGGTTTTTACAAGAAGCAGGCTGGCCCTATGTCCACACCAAATTCCTGCTCAGGCCCTCCTATGTCCACGGGTGCAATGTCAATGATGGGGAGGCGTGAGGTCTTCTGTGTCCGGTACTCGATAACAGTCTTGTCCCACTTACCGG